ATTTTAAAATAAAACAATGGCTAAAACATTGCTAAATCAATCAATAAATTTGAACTCTCTGAAGCTGTAAATTATATAGAATAATAAAATCAATTGTAAAAACCACAGAGTTGAAATTACATGCTGTTACATGCAGCTATTTTGTCAACAGACAAAATAATTATTTTCAAAACATTCACTTTATTTTTTATAAAACATATAATGAATAAAGAGTTAAAAAAGTGAGCTTAATAAATAGATGGAAAGTAAAATTGGTCCGCATTTTCATAAATTTAGTTAAAGCGAGTTGAAGCTTGTCTGAAGCTGCATGAAGAGCAGAAAAAATGAATTAGCAATATTAGTGTTCAGCATTGCGTTTTGTAGGTTTCCAATTAATATGTTTTATAATAATTCTCTCATTTATTTGCGAAAGAAACCAAAAGGTGAAAATAAGTTTTTAAAGCAATTTGAATTTTCAATAACTGCTTCTCTTATCATTTTCCAGTAAAAATCAGATATTTGCTACATGCTTTACAAACTTTTAACCTTCTTCCTTTTCATATTTACAATTTCATTTAAATACTCGTCGTAGTGAGCTTATTTGCATTATTTCGGTTCAGAATAATTTCCAAGGAAACTCAATACACGCGTTCGAATTGTAAAACTGTGTCATTCATTCCCGACGAGCAGCCTTGCTTGAGGTGCAGCCGTCAGTTTTAAACGCGAGACACACATGTTGGGCGCGGGATGTTGCTCAATCGGCGTCTTTTTTCGCTATTTTTATTTGCGGGCTGAGGGCCATAAAGCTGTTCGAAAGCACCTCGCAGGGATCATTTTCAAAGTTCTACAGCCACCTTAAACTTTTAACACCTGGCTTAATTCAAACTTTCGGCAATATAGTAATAATACTGACTTCTCTGCAAAAAAATTAAGGCGGAGCTTTCGAGCTGTCAGTCAGACCCAAATTATAAACGAATACTTTGTCCGAGGTGGAACCTGATATAATTTTCAAAAGTAATTTGTCGCTAAGACAATTGCGCATATGCAATCAAGTTGTAATAAATAAATTGTTTCTGTTCTCTTGCACGTCTCACAGCTACTCACGCATGCGAGTGTATTTTAAATATATTCAAGCGCGAGCAAGGCTGGACCTAGAAATTTCACGATTACGCCGTGTGTACGTAGAGAGTGCCCTGATTTCAACCACCTCTCCCAAGACAGACAGACAATGGACAGCCAGTTGCATGTGCGTGTGGGTGCAATTTATTATTTATCTCTGTTATTTAATTCAATATGGTTTCAATATAATTTTCGCTCCGTACCGCCCAGAGTGAAATATTTTCACGCAAGGTTAATTTATGGACGTTCGTGGATCTATTGTATATAAACGCATGAGTAATTACTGCATAGTGGCAATTATTATGCAGTAGTAGCTCATTTTAATATTGCCGAGAGAGTAGCACAATGAAAACGCCCTGTCTGCTTTAATGGCCCACGCGGCCTCACAGCTTTTTTCAATGAACGTATTTAGCAAAATTGGTTATTTTATTTTTAAAGCATATTTTTATTTTTAGGCAAGAATAAATTTAACTGTTACATTATTCCTGACATTCAGGTTCTATATTATAATAATTATTGGGGGAGATTCAATAGACTTAGCTCTCCCGGGATATCAGATATCCCGGGATAAATCCAAAGGGATAAAATTTAAACCACTGTCAAAAATTTTAATAGTTTTTAAATTTTTGTTTAAAAACAAAATTATTTCTTAATTAAAAAATGAAAAAAATTAACAACACTAAAATAAGAAAAATTATATAATTTAATATTGTTATAATTTGAAGCATATTTATTAAACATAATTTTTTAACGCGTGGTTACTAAAACTAATTATTCATTATATGTGTCAATCTAAATTTTTTTTAATGCTCATATTCCGTCTCCCTCTGACAATAAAATAAGGCAAAGATTTTGATCATAGCTTCATGATCGCATCGGGGCAATCGCCTTCGGAAGAGACCTTCGAGGCTGCATCTCGCGCCCGTCAAAAAAGTGAATACCCGCAAAGCCTGACTAATGGAGTTTGCTTTGAATGCACACCTCGAGGGTAAAACATTCCTTTCATTCTCTCATCTGCTGCACTGCTCGATTCGAAAAAGAATCATCTCATGCTGATCGTTTTGCGGCGGCATAGGTGATGGAGATATTATGAGAATGAACCTTGGCACAGGTCACTCGTTTATCGGCTCGCGGGCGGCGGAATCAACCGGATGATTGACGGAAAGTCGCACGATCAGAACCGCAAGGTCGAACCGCCGCCGAAGATTCGAACGAGCGCGTGCAGCACATTTGATCCTTTTTTTACTCCATCGATGAATCGCATCCGCACCGCACCGTGTTTTGAAAGATCAAAATTGCGATTGTTGCACTGGCAACTTTTGAAAGAGAGACGCATTGTTTCTCTTTCTCTCCGAAGCGCACAATAGCTCGGCTGCGTAATTATATAATTTCTCACAGGCAGCGCGTAAAACTTTTATCGCGCACACGTCCCTCAAGATGCTGCAACTTTTTAATGGTCTTCATCAGGCCTCCTTGTTTCTGCTTATTATTTTTGGGCTCTTAAAATTGTTTCATAACTTAATTATTTCAAAAAACTTATGAATTGTTTTGAAAATTTTGCTATATACAAGACGTAATCGAAGCTTTACAGACCCATTGTTAGGAAATGTCAGAAATGTATAATTTTAGATACTTGATTTGTGGTTAACTTAATATATTTAAATCTTTGTAAATAATTTATTTTCAAATAATATTTATTTCTCAGCCAAAATACTTCACTCTAAGATTATAAAAAAAGAACATGCGTTTAATAATTTTTTTCCCAAACAAGTTAAAACAATAAATTGAGAAAAAAAATTAGTTCGGAGAAAATCAGTGCTAGTGAACATATTATATTTTAACAATTAAACTCAAGGAAAGTCATAGCTGATTGTGAGAATAATAAAAGGCGATAAAAATACACTTCTATACTCGTTGCACTGCAGCCTATGCTATACAGGAAAGGTAAAAATTAAAAAATCAATTTGCATCACATGCTCTTTGCACAGTTAATATACAAATTAACAATTATATTTTATTATTCGACTAAAGTTTTTCTAGATTTTAGGGGTCTCCATTCATAATTTTATTTTAAACTACTTTTTCAATTTGTTATTATTATTATTAAATTTAATACATTTAAGAGGAGCGTTGAGCTTATTTTAAGATATTTTCTTAACGAGAGTCAGCAGCAATAAATCAAATCTACAACATTTTTACTTTAAGAGTTGCGGTTATTTTAATTATCTACCTGCGTATTTTACTTTAAAAATCTTAAAATTTTTAGTACGAAGCAAGCTATTAAAGAATTAATACAATTTATATTAAATGACATGAAAAATTCCTCTCTTGCTCACCAGAAAGTTTGTATTTATATGCAGTAACAAAATCACCTTTCCATAGATTATAATTTTCAATAAAGTCAATTGTATTGAGTCGGAATGTGCAGCACTATGTATTAATAAAAAAGAATTTTAAACAAAACTTTTCCTCCAAAACTCCGTAAGTCAAGGTTCTCTCAGGATTTATAAAGCAGTAATTAAGAACAGACAAAATTGCGTTTTTATTGCTCTTTCCCGATGTAGCGAATTAGTGTTTACAATTAGCTATTATGCTAATCATGTGAGAAATTGATAGCACGCACCGATATCTCCCGTTGTGCACAACTAAACAAGCCATAAAAATGCTTTTAAGTGAATCACGACCTGGCTTTTGCACAACTTTTGATTATTGCAAAATCGGAAGTGCGATGATACAAACGAAAATTACTTACAATAATTCTAATTTTCTTTTATGCAACTGCACCTGCGAGAGTGGAACTAGTGGAACAAGCCAAGCTAGCACATTACAGATGCGGTAACACCTCATGATTTGCTATGTCAAGCAAAGCAAACATGAGTGGCCTCATTATTCAATCATAAAATTGTGACGAGCAATCTGAGAAAACGGAGCCAACCTTGGCATTCCGTAGGGTCGATCGTCAGAAGAGCGAACAAAAAATATAAAAGTACGACGACGAACAAAAGCAAAAGTCATTGACTGCAAGAGCTGCATTAGGGGCAAGCAGATCATTTTCTCGCTCTCCGCTAATGGAAACTGGTTTCTCGAACGAAAGCAAGAGTCTTACTTCAAATCGCGGCTATGCAATAATAATGCAATTTAAGTACACACAAGAAAAGAGCAGTGCGCGCGAGTTCCTTTACGCCCAGAAAGTCGAATTATTTACTCTCCTTTTTCACAGCCAATAAAACACGGTCGATCTCCTTAAGTGTGGTATAAATTAGTTCAATGAAAAACCATTAAACAATTATATAATGTGCTCTCAACTCGGACATCCAAGGCTGCATAGGATGATTTTTTGAACTAACAGACGCACTTATAATTGGAAAAATTGCATCAGAGAATTTTAAATTATGACGCGCTATTAAACAATTCTGCTTAAAAGCTCACTGACCATCAGTAGTTTTTGTGCTTCCAATTAAAACTGGCATTGACATTTTGGCCAATTTTTCCTATAATTTTTTTGTTTGGAAAACATGAATAATGGCTTATCTATGAGGAAATGAGGAACTAATTTAAACTGGAGCCGGAGATGAATGAAACAAAAAAAGCGCTGGGCTCTGACCGCAACCTTCAAACGAATCCTGCTCCTGGTATCACCCACGTCACCTGACTCCGTCACAAAATGCATTCTTTCCGTTTCGGCATATATTTTAATATGGGGGAAAACAAGACATCCTTGATCTGAAATTCACATATCACAGGGTATCGAATTGTCTGTAATCGGCTCGATTTACGTCAGCAACACCCTTTGTGTGATGATTATGAGAAGGTTTATATAAAATAAAATTAATTGATCATCTAATTCGTCTCAGCAGCGTCTAGATGGAAAAGGGGAGTTGGTCTGCAGGTCTCTTGTCGCAAGAGGCCGGACACCGCAGCCGCCTCCAGGAAACCTGCGGGCCCGGAGGCTTACAGATCTGCGCCCCTCTACTTTCACTTACTATAAAAGCGGTGGTAACTTTGCAGAAATCATTCTGTTCCCTCAGACACTCAAACACATCAACATGTTCAAGCTCGTAAGTATTCAAACGCATTTCCCAGTCTTATAAAATCAATTAGAAATTTATATTTGTTTCGTCGAAATCACAAAATTTTGGATTTTTCTCAATTTTAATTGAATTGTTTTCTCAGGTCGCTTTCGCCACCCTCCTGGCTGTTGCCAACGCTGGATTCCTGTCTGCCCCCGCCGTGGCCTCTCCCCTGGCCTACGCCGCCCCTGCCTACACCCACGCCGCCTATGCTGCCCCCGCCTACACCTCGTACGCCGCCCCCGCCTACGCTCCGGCCTACGCCGCCCACACCTATGCCGCCCCCGCTGTCGTCAAGTCTCTTGCCCCCGTCGCCACCTCTTACGCTAACACCTACAAGGTCGCCGTGAAGGCCGCCCCCGTCGCCTACGCCGCTGCCCCCGCCTACGCCTCGTACGCCGCCCCCGCCTACGCTTCCTACGCCGCTCCCGCCGTCGCTTCCTACGCTGCCCCCGCTGTCGTTAAGACCGCTTATGCTGCCCCCGCCTACGCTTCGTACGCCGCCCCCGCCTACGCTTCCTACGCCGCCCCCGCTGTCGTCAAGACCGCTTATGCCGCCCCCGCCTACGCTTCGTACGCTGCCCCCGCCTACGGCGCCGCTTACCTGCACTAAGAAGTTTGCCAGCGAGCGATCTCCTTGAGCATAAAAAACAGACTGAGTGATGTTACACCTAATTTATTTTAGAATGTCGCATTTTTCCATCAATAGCACTGTTTGTACACACCATTAATAAATTCAACACATGACAACCATGTCTTCATTCGAAAAAAAAAGAATTCTTTGCATTGTCAATCAAACCCCAGTACTTTTAATATAATTACATTATTCACTAATTTAGAAATTTTCAGAATTTATAAAAATTTTAATAGCATTTTTCTGAAAACTATCCTAGGTACCATCGCAATATTATAGAATAATTCAGAATAATTACTTTACTACATTGAAAGTACGAAATTAAATATTATAAAAAATATTAATTTGCACTACTTTATTCATTATATTATAATCAACTATTATTGAAAGTATAACTTGTTAAATTCTCTTTAATTAAGACACATTAATAATAACGAATTTAAAAACAGCACGGCACTAAGGTACTTTAATAATACTCTAAATAATTAATGAAACATTTAAATATTTGTTTCAAAAATATTAAAATATACTTTATAATTATTTATTAAATTCAATCTTATTTTATATATATTTAATATTAAATTATTTTCAATTACAAAATATTTTTTTATATTGATGATTTTATACTTTTTATCATAAATTGCAACTTTGTAGTTTTTTTTTATAAAATCAATCACATCAAATAACTTATTTTTAAAATTAAATTTTTAGGAGCAACAAAAAGATGATATTCATTTGAAGTATATATAGCAATATATAATTATGAGTTGTCTCTTAAGGCGCTTGTTTTAATGTTTACAAGTCAACCCCTAATATGATGGAGTATGCAACACGCGTAGCAGAGAAGCTGCACAGTTTGCATAACGAATAATAAGTAAACCTGGAATTCATCATTGCGCATCATTATTTTTTGCAAGTGAGATTTTGAAGGAATGCGACCGATAATTTTCCCTGCGTGCAAAATCATCTAATCTCGCTTTTCCAATGGAGTAAAGAAATCGCTTCCGCAAGCTAGACAACCTGTGAGACAGCAAAGCACTACCGGTAGTATAAGGTAAAACCAGTTCAAACAATCTTATATAAGTGAGAGCCCAAGAAAGAGCCACGAGCCGCTGGAGCTTTGTACCAGTTAATTACGTAATTCGTAGCAAAATATGTTTATCATATCTATTTCCCCTTTGATTGAACTAATTTTATTTTAATGGCCACAATTACCAAAGTAACTAAACATGGCAGGTATGAAAACTCGCAAAAAGTAAATTAAGCCATTTGTTCTCGTCCATTGAACCTCGGAAGCCGTGTCAATTGGCCGCAGTTTATTGGCAGCGATCGTATTATGGTCGCTCCCACTGATACTATTCCTCCGAGTGCGACAATAGGCGCAATCGTTATTGAGAGTGCCTCGCTGGTATACACGCTTATGTAACACATTACTCGATGCCACTGCGAGCACAAACGCGTGAAATTCTATTTCTTCATACGGTTGGCGCTTCGTATTGCCGACACACAATGGAATAAATTACCCGTGAATGCTCTTTAATAATTAACTTTGACCACAGCATAAAAGGCGAGTTGGATCAAAATTAAATTGAAATAATCATCGCATTTGTACTCAAATTATCGTTTTCGTTAATGGTGATATCAGCTGTATAGATTATTATTATTCATATCTAATTTTGAGGATGATTCTTTTGAAATTGAAGATGAAATCTGAATCATATAGGGATTGGCAAATAGTCTGTTTATTTTATTTAAAGGAAAAATTCTTCAAATTCTTTGTCAAATAGAAGTGATAAAGTGGTAATTAAAGTCGCTTTAAAAAATACCTGTTTTAGCCACGTTTTATAAATGTAAGAGAACATTAAGAATGATAGTTTTCAAACTTCGTTCATACTTATTGCGTGTTCAAGTAAAAAGAGGTGTGATGAGTGCCTCTTTTTACCTTTTTCTTGATTATTTGATATTCCCAAAATCCAACATCATATCTCGCCCCCGAAAATATATAACCAAAAATGGTTTTTTTTTACACATATGTAAGTAAAGAATATTGAATTTTTACAAGGGAGATTAAAAAACTTTTTATTGATTATTTTATTTTTATAGCGATTTTTATTGCCTCCGCGCACATTCTTGAAATTTAATATGTAATAAATAATTTATTACACCAGTATTAGTGTACAATTAAATCAGAATAAAGATTATATTTAAATATATTAAAATAATTAATTGACTACCTTTACTTGTGAAAATGTGAATAAAAACCAGCATAAAGAAAAACTTTTTTAATTTTAATACACTGTGGACATCGTTCACATTTTTTATGCTCTATTTTGAAACTTTTTACTCAAAATGTAAGAGTATGGTGATAAAAATATGCTAATGATGGAGTAATTCACGTACAAATGAGGTAGCAATTAAATAGCTACAAAGGTCTACAAAAGGTTCTCACATTAAAATGAAAATAGGTTTTTTTAATGTACATAGCTGAGTAGTTTTCAGCGACTACTGTGTGGCATATGACGTAATTATGGTTGAATTGCATGACGCACAGTGTGGCCTCAATCTGGCTTCAAAGTTCTCCAAAAATTTATTGGAATCTGGTACGCCCCCTATTAAGATTGTGACTGATTAATGTGAGCGTCCGAACCAGCTTTGGCGCAAATAATTGAGAGTGTGCTACTGACAATGAAAATAATAACAACCTGGCCGGTGGGTCCTTGCTCCACAATTGTCAAGAGAAACAGCCTAGCTGGTTAATCGATCGCCACCTGTGCGACACGGCACGATCAGCAAGCAAGAAAATTGTGCTTTTTCCTTTTTTCTTAATAATATATATATTAAAACATAATTTATTCCGTTTTGTTCTTAGGGCGCACGGACAACAGCACTGCAATTATTAATTGCACGAATGCAGCACGAGTGTTTACTTTTGATTCAACTCTGCTGCACTAAAGCATTCTATACAATAAATCCGATGAGAAGAAAAAGGAGTGGAGTTATAAAGCTCTTCATTTATCTTTAAATTTTTCTTGCATCTCTCTGCCCTTCAGCTGTTTTATTGATTGATGATCCTCATCTTTACAAATCCGCATCGACTCCCAGAGAGACAATATAAACCGTAGACTGAAAACGGCGGGCATAAGCGAGACGAAGGCTAAATTTTATTGTGACCACGGCACGGTGGCCGGTATAAACTCGAAGGTCGCACTGGCTCTGCCTGCCACAATGGGAGATTTTAACAAAACACTGTGTAGATTTTTCTGAACTTCCTTAAACTGCAATTATACTTTCTTTTCTGAGAAGTAGTAAAAAATAAATTATTGAAAGAATATATATTTTCAAATTAAAATTTTTTGAAACCCTGATATTCAGATTATGAAAAGTAATGAAGTTTTCATTATTTGCAATTTGCAATTGTTTGAATCTTGATAAGGAAGAGTTTGATACCCATAATGATAGTATTAATTTTTGTTTCTCTCCGTTGGTGACTTAACCTCGCTATCAGGTTGAACGCGTGCGCCTCTCACCACCTTCGCCTGTACGCGATATTGCTGAGGCCGTCGTGTATGTACTTCGGTACTTGCTATTAGTTTGGTCCTCCACCCACCTGACATTAAGGCCCCCACCCTTCGAGTGCTTGGCACATAAAAGGCGGCCTGCCCAAGTGCTCTTCACTTGTTCATCCGCAACAACCAACAAACCTTCACCATGTTCAAGCTGGTAAGTTTTCAAGTTTATCAATTTTTTATTCTAGGCTTAATTTTTTTTTCGAATCAATTTTTACTCAACTTTTGCTCTTTTATTTCATCAACAGTTCGCTTTCGCCGCCCTCCTGGCCGTCGCCAACGCCGGATTCCTGGGTGCCCCCGCCGTGGCCCCCTTGGCTTATGCCGCCCCCGCTGCCTATGCCGCCCCCATCGCCACCTCTTACGCTAACACCTACAAGGTCGCCGTGAAGTCCCCCGTTGTTGCCGCCGCCCCCGTTGCCTACGCCGCTGCCCCCGTCGCCTATGCCGCCCCCGCCTACGCTGGCTACGCCGCCCCCCTCGCCTACAAGGCCCCCGTCGCCTACTCCGGATACGGAACCACCCTCATCCACTAAGTCAGCAACAAACGGAGACACCCGACAAATCCTATACCTTTCGGAAGCCTCAAAACTGTGATTCCTCCTCGGAACAAATAAATCTAATATATTATGTGTGAAAAGCAAATTTTCAAAATTTGATTTTACAAACCCAATAATTGAGCACAAACCTCTCATTACCTCTGCCGACGTGAGAATAATTTAACAGCTAGGTCAAGTTTAGACAGCCAGTATGGTTGAATTGGTTAAGTAATATTTTAGTTGACTTTTTCCTTCTGAACTTGTTGCATTATAGATTGTACTGAGATATAAACACTGCGAGCAGTGTAATATAAATAAATAAACAGAAATCACATAAATATCTCAAATAAAAAATCAGACTGCTCCTTGCAATGATATAATCTGTCACTTAAGTGTGGTACAAACTAATATTAATGGAGTAAAAACTTGCGACTCAAATGCATTATTTTTCTCATTACATTGGTATAGGTAATTTTTAACGTAAAAAATAAACACAAAGTTTAATCTCTTTTGATCGATCCCATATATCATGTCTGCAATTTTTATATCCAATTAATATTTGAATAATTCATTGGCATAGTTGACCTCAACCGAGATTCTACCGAGTTTATTGAGACCAACTAAAAGAACTTTTTTTTAATGAAGGCATTGACTTGCATTATTATTTAATATCGTACTATGCACTTTGCTACTATACTACTATGCTAGGATACTCTTAAAACATAGTGCTTTTATGACTTCATCTGTTCATCTATTTATATCTTCGTTTTAAAACACATTTTTTGTTTCACGAAAATTTAATATTTTAGTGTCACGTGAAGTAACTGCGCTCATTTTACTCCAAATAATTTAACCCACAATTTCATAAACATCTGGATAATTGGCTTTACCAAACAAAATAATTGCCTATTTATTACTGCACTACAGCAAAAATGCTTGCGCGCTCATGACCGCAAGCGCGCATAGCAAATGAGAGTTATAATTACGTTTTCTGCAATATAGGGCAGCATTTTACGTGTGATTGATTAATTAAAAAAATCCACTCTCATTCCCGTAAAAACTTAATAAGATTAAATGATTCTATTTTGAAATATTTGCAAACTGCGATAGTCATTTATTTATTTTCACTGTAAAATTAAGACAAAATAAGATTTTTCCCTGCTCGCGCTCATTTTGGAAGAACAAAATTTCATGTGAAATGCTTATCAGCTGACAATGAGATGCACATTGAGACACAATTTAGTAATTTATCCTTTGCGTGGTCAAGAATAATGCAAGACGTTGGGGCCTTTGTATTTGTTATTATTTATTCTCCTCGCGCTCCTCCTGTAAATCGCAACCTCTGCCGCTCGATAGCCAAGAAGAGTAACCGACTATGTAATAATGTTCGAAAGTACATTTTGACTAATTGCGTATTATATTGTCGTTTTTATTGCTCAACGAAGGAAAAGTGTCATAAATAATGGTCAAATTAATTTAATTTTTCATCAATGCCAAAACATAAGGGCAGCTCAAGATATGCATGTTACTTGAGGCTAATGGAAAAAAAGAATAAAATACTTTTGATATTTTACTACTATTATATAACTCCATAAATAAAGTTGGGTCACTATTGTTCGTTCACTAACAATAAATTTATAGAGTTCTTCCTTAATGTGCGGAAAACATATCGAGAGGACACACAAATTTTGAACCCGGAAATGGCCTAAGTGTCTTTTTAATTTTAAATTATACATTTTATAAGTGAGAATATAATCAATCGTTGCTGGTTATTTTGGACAGCAAATGTTCCATCCTGGAAAATTTAAAGTAAAAACTGGTATTAAGGAAAAAACTTCTAGCAAAAAATTTTAAATTTTTTTACATTATAGCATTAACCTTCATTTTATCATGTTCGCCAGCACTTAACCACCTTCGCCTGATCGGGGGATATAGCTACGGCCGTCATACTCAGGTGCACTTTGGTCCTCCACCCATTCAGACCTCGTACCCCCACTTTAGAGTGTCCACTCTAGTATAAAAGGCGGCTGCCCCCCGATGCTCTTCACTTGTTCACCCGCAACAACCAACCACATCCATCACCATGTTCAAGCTCGTGAGTTTTCATTTTATTTTTTTTCCCAAAAAATAGGAAAATACATTAAAAATTTTTTTTTTCAATTCTTATATATTAAATTTTTTCTCTGTATCAGATCGCTTTCGCCGCCCTCCTGGCCGTCGCCAACGCCGGATTCCTGTCTTCCCCTGTGGCTTATGCCGCCCCCGCTGCCTATGCCGCCCCCATCGCCACCTCTTACGCCAACACCTACAAGGTCGCCGTGAAGTCTCCCCTTGTTGCCGCCGCCCCCGTCGCCTATGCCGGATACGCCGCCCCCGCTGTCCACGCTCCCCTGGCCTATGCCGCCCCCGCCTACGCTGGCTACGCCGCTCCCCTCGCCTACAAGACCCCCGTCGCCTACTCCGGATACGGAACCACCCTCATCCACTAAGGACTAGTCAAGCATGTACGCCGACAAATCTTGAAATCTGTGATTCCTCGACACCTGGAATAAAGCTAAATTATATGTGAATAGAATATTTCCGATCATGATTTTTAAATAACTGCACCCAATTTAGGATTAGGATTAAAATTTCACATCTGTTTTTAATTGTCAGTCTTATAGTCATTTAAATAATTATGTTTCATTTTTTATATAATTCTTAATTTTTATTACAAATTTACTGACACAATAGCATTGCAAATAAAAAAAATAAGTAAGTGTTGACAAACTTGAAACAACTGTAAACAGAATATATTTCACATTAAAAAATTTAAAAAAATCAATTACAATACTAAAAGTTTTTGCTGTTGCAAACTCTATGAAGGATAGACAAGTTAAATAAAATAAATAATATTTTGCTCACCTCGATACAATTATCTCCTTTCTGCAAGTGCTGTGCACTTATATGTATATCGCGTATTGATAATTATTTGTACTTAATCCACTTTCGCAAAATTAACATCAAAATGATCAAGATGTGTTATTTAATAGGAAAGTTTAAAAAGCAGTAAAACTAATTGAAATGCAACGCCAAGGCCTAGCGATGCAAAAGCCTAACAAATAACCCACTTTTGGATCACCCTAATTAAATTGAGCAAAAAATTGGCCATGCAGCTATATCCAAGTCATAATGATAGGTTCAAGTATTTTTTGTAATTCATAAATAATGATTAACATTAATTCTCAAGAGTACCACATATACACATTCAGTGTGTTGTAATGGTTCTTATTTTTTATGTTACTCAAACGCCTGCTGACTAACATAACAGCACGCGAAAAAGTCACAAAAGCATTAATATCATATCAATTTAGAGTTCATCAAAATTACGACTTCAAATTTGTATATTTTGGTATTTTAAGGCCGATGAATAAAGCTGGTTCATTAACCAAATAGTAATGCTCATGCAAATCTGATCCTTCAAAAATAATACTTCCTTTTTCCTCAACGGCATGTCAAAAGAATCAACCAGGAAGAATTAATTCATCCAACGCCCACAATTAAACAAACAAACAAATAAGACACCCAAAGGAGCGCTCGTTTCTCTTGGACCTCCTAACAACCTCTGGCAGTGCCACAATATTTTCACCACCATGTTCTCATTATGAGGCTTAAATGCTTAAATTTAAAACAATTCCATAATTATAATATTGAATCTGAATTAATAGATATTCTCTATAAACGTGTGCATAAGTATGTACCTCAATGTAAGCTAAAACTACATAACTTCAATGGAAACATAAATGCATTGCAGCACCCCAGCAGTGCAAATATCTTTTCTTTAATCACCTTTTTAGCAAGAAATTTACATGCATATGCATGAATGAAATTGTCCGGCTCTCAGCTAATTAATAAATAAGAATGACAAAGCTTAAGTTTAGACGTACTGATATATTGTGAGATAAATTAGTTACTTCATCTTCAGCGCCGAATAAATCAACCTGCGAGACCTTTTGTTATCGCAATCTATGCCATTCTCGATCGCTGGCCCGAGACGAGCACATCCATCCAGGCCACCCATGTATGTAGTGCAGCAATATATTTCATTTCATAAATAGAGATTTTTATCGTTGTAATTGTAAAAAAAAAAAAAATCAAGAAAGAATTTAAAAAAGCAAAAGAAAAATGCTATATTAGTTAGGCTCTAATTAATATTCAGCTCAATTATAATTTTTATGTTATTTCTTGTGTTAAAGTTAAAGATAAACAAATATACCGCTAAGTTTGTTATATTTTCAAAGCTCAAAACATGACTCTAAATTTTTATATGAATAATATTTTGGAGCCCTATGAATAAAATCAAAAAATCAATAAAGAAACACGAATAATTCATAAATCAACAAAGAAAATATTCATTCATTCAAAGACCGCATGTTTATATAATCACACAAAGAAAATGTTAAAAGTAACAATGTTATTCAACAAGAAATAAACTCTTTGAAAAGCCTGATTGAGATGTAATTGTATCATATCGGTAAACGCCTATAAATTGATAAAAAAAAAATCATTTTCAACTTATAATACCCTTAACCTTCAAGCTATCAGGTTGAATGCATACGCCTCTCTCCACACCTCCTTCCCTGTACGGCCGTCATGTGCTCACCAGGTACCGCAGTTGGGTCCTCCACCCACCTGACTATAGTGCCCCCACCCTTTGAGTGTCCACTCTAGTATAAAAGGCGGCTGCCCCCGATGCTCTTCACTTGTTCACCCGCAACAACCAACCACATCCATCACCATGTTCAAGCTCGTGAGTTTTCAATTTTCAATTTAATTTTTTTTTTTCAATTCTTATATATATTAAATTTTTTTCTCTGTATCAGATCGCTTTCGCCGCCCTCCTGGCCGTCGCCAACGCCGGATTCCTGTCTTCCCCTGTGGCTTATGCCGCCCCCGCTGCCTATGCCGCCCCCATCGCCACCTCTTACGCCAACACCTACAAGGTCGCCGTGAAGTCTCCCCTTGTTGCCGCCGCCCCCGTCGCCTATGCCGGATACGCCGCCCCCGCTGTCCACGCTCCCCTGGCCTATGCCGCCCCCGCCTACGCCCACGCTGCCTACGCCGCTCCCCTCGCCTACAAGACCCCCGTCGCCTACTCCGGATACGGAACCACCCTCATCCACTAAGGACTAGTCAAACACATACATGCTGGCTGAACAGCAAATCTGTGATTCCGATCTGCAAATAAATCTAAATTATGAAATGTGAATATCAAATTGCATTGTTTCTAATTGATAAGATAAGCATTTAGAAAATTACCCTAAAGCTGAGCATTTATTAATTTAAATTTAGTTTCGAGCCGATTGGGAAATTATCATAATTTTATTGCAATACTCAGCTCGTGCCTCTTTCAATAGTAAAGCACTAATTCATTTATTTATATTCTCCACATTTAAAATTTTTTTAAGTCACTGAATACCAGCCAAAAACCATAAAAAAAGGCGTACTTGCTTAAAGTACTGGAAAATACATTGTCAGCCATAAAACAAAGTCAAATTTGAGTGCCCTCCGAATAAAAAAAAGTATTTTGAAGGAGTTTTTCAGCGCTCCTCTAATTTAAAGCAGGTTCATTTTATGAATTTTATTATAAACCTAATATTATATCTCCTTTTTCGCGGGTTAAAATGCCGAATCCTGCACTTGCGGCTTTCGTCTCAATATCTCTGCCAATCAGAGCGCTGAATAGAACGCAGCCCAAACGCAGCCGCTGAAAATGATCAGATGCTTGATCAGATGTTTCACAAAAATAAACAAAGTACAAAGTTGTGGCTTTTGGATCAAAAGAAAAGATATATTTTTAAACATTGTAGTTGATAATTATTATTGTTTAGTAAATTAAAATGCGTAGCGATCCGGCTAAGCTGAAGAGCGATTATAACAACCCATGTTTAAAGGTTATTTTCTTTCTAACTTTTGTCAAGAATTCTATTTTGATTAAAATTTTTGTCAAAAATTCCAGGAGCAGGAGTTGTCATTCAAATGTATGCACGATAATAATTTTGACAAAGATTCTTGTCAATTGGTGTTCAAAAACTACCAAGTCTGCAAAGAATTTTGGGTATGTTTCGTATTTTCTGAAAAAACATATGCATTTCAATCTAAATTTTTCTCGTAGAATAATATTGTCTCCGCAAGACGCAGAGCTGGAATAAGACCCTTAATGCCGCCACCTGAGGAGCGAGATCAAATAAGAGCAGAATATGTAGAAAATAGAAAATGGTGAGGATATAGGTTATTGTAAAAAAAATGTACAAATTTTCATTTTCATTAACATTTGGCGTCTTTCTATAAAACAGTTTAAATTTATTTGTTGGTCCTTCAAAATGTTTAAAAATCAATAGTAATAAAATAATAAACAAAATAAATCTGCTACAAATAGCAAAATTTTATTTTTCTGTTGAGTAGTACACAAACCAGTGGTGTTCCATTTTGTTTTCAAATAATATATATGGCCGTGTGCCAGAGACTTGCTCTGCACTGCAAAAATATTACATGTCCACAATTAACTTGTTCGTTTGATCGTGACTGCCACTTCGATAGACCAGAGCATACAGAGATAATTATTATTAGTATTTCGTTCCACAGCTTTTTGTACATGATCATGCAAATCTACTACGCGTTTGAATTTACAGAACTACTCAATTGATTATTAATTATGTTTATATACGATTTGCACATGGAAACATGCTGGCCTAATTTTACACATTTATTATATAATTTAAATCTCATACTACATATGTATGAAAAAAGCTGCGTGTGCACCCCGGCTTTTGGTAAAATATTTGACACAAAATGAGGTACAAATGGAAGCTGAAATTGCTAGACGCACTGCTGTTTTTTGTATGTCCATTGGTACAGTTAATTCTTCACTTAGTAGTAAAATGAGCATGTGTATACAGCGTTTTTAAATTCAATGGGCAACATTCATAAAGGGGTGAAAGACAGATTTTTACCCAGAGGTAATATATTCAAGTGTGGAACGAACGCTGATGATTGTTGCAAAAATTGACTCGTCCAAAATATCATTTCAATTTGAAAATCAAACTTTCTATCAAAATCTTGACTTGGCTATTGTAAGCAAACTTCCAAATTAATTATCCCTCATAATACCAACCCACGCATAGCTGATGTTGTGCTCTTTACAACAGAAGCAAGACTAGGAATGAAAAACACTTTTAAAATATTCGATGGAATCCAAAAGCGTTGCAAGAACTAACAATTAAAAACTAATATATGGTTACAGAAGCAATTCATGGTGATTAATTTCTTCTCTTACAGATAAAAGCAATAAAACTTGAACCCCACTGATATGATTTTAAAGGAGGAACGTAACCTCCTCCTTTGTACCTAGCTATTTGATTTTTGCTAAACCGCTCACAAATTTTGAGTAAATATATTCATTAAGACTTTTGAAAATTCTCAATTCATCCCGCACAGATCGTATTGGAAACTTTATGAAACCTAAAAGTCGTATGCTGGCAGAAATAGACTGTCGAGTTCTCTTTCGATCCAAGAAGTCAGACAGTGAAATTGAAATATTTGATCCACAGAGGTGGTGTCCGGAGGTAAATTAACACACTTGAAAGTAACTGACAACACAACTGCAACCCAAAGAACTGAGGAAAAGGTGACGAGTCGGATGAGGATTTTAGCATTTTGTGTTGTCCCACAGAAGTCAAGCCGACTTGTCCTTGATTCGGAAACACTCTATTTTGAAGTGATGGCACATTTCTTGCACCTGTTGATCACAAATTTTTTTAATAACATGACATACCAAAAAATTAAAACAAAAAATTACCACACAGGTGCCGTAGTGAATTTGAGTGATGGTGGCTAAAAAAGTTACTGCGTAAAGCAGGGGCAGCTCAAAAGCAGCAGCTGCAGGCACATAAACCAGCACTAGCACCATGATAGATAGAGGTGGGATGATCCAGTGCAGGGCTTCACACCTTGTGTTTGACATTTGCGAGACAATAAGTCGGCACTGAAAAAAATTCAAGATCAGTAAAAAAAAAATTAAACAATTCAAGCACCTCAAAATTTTTTTTTTTTAAATTTAAGTTCACAAACTTGGAGAAAACGGGGATTTTTTTTACTTTATCAAATTATATATTTTGTTCACTAAAGTGGAACCAGAAAAATCTTGCACATCGGTCATCTTTTTTTGCAAACAACATTTTTAACAATCTGCAATCACTAAGACTTTAGACTCTCTAAGACAAAACTTGAGAGATTCTTCTGGAAAATTCTCTTGATCTCTGACACTGCTTTTTTTTATTAGTACTTACACAGATATTAGAGAAGATGGTGCCCGTCATGAAATAAATGGCTCTCGGGTCAATTTCAATCACATTGTTCGGCGAATAGACCACCCAAAAGGAACACAGGCCCAGAAAGCCAACTACCGAGAAGCAGGGCCGGAATGCCTCCAAGGGCGTTCGCATTTTCCCTGTTTTGTCTCGATAAGATCTGTAAAGTATCTGAACATTAATATAAAATAAATAACAAGTGCAATTTTAAGTTTATTGCCTTCGACATGTGTTTAGACTTTTGAATTAATTATTTTATGAAAAAAAAAATGCAGTGACGATTGTTGTTTCCAGAAAATTTCACCAAAAAAGGAATACTTACAAATAGACATTGTACACGGAAACGGGTACATTGAAGAGAATTGCGCTGACGTAGAACACTAATTCAAACAATTGTCCACATGTCACACTGCCAAACACGTCAAAGTTCCAAATTGTGTGGCTATAAAATGCTGTCACTGTGAAGGTTGCCATGGTTGCCTGGAAATTACCCAAATTAAATCATGCTTTCTGTTTTTTCTTTTTCTTTTGTGCGAGTAAAATTCATACCAGCATTGAGGCGTCATAGCCCCACGGCAAGAAGAGAACGCCCGTGTTGTACTTCTCCCAGTGAGAGATGAAGAAGTTGAGGAAGATGTTCCAGAAACAAAAGTACATTCTGATAGGTGACACACTGTGATCGGTCCGGCCGAACGCCGAGTACATGCAGGTGACGATGAAGACGGTTGTGTAGGAGTCCAGGCCGTGGTCGAAGAGTTCCCCAAGGGGGCCACTCGTCTGAGTCCGTCGTGCTTGCTTACCATCGATTCCATCTGAAGAAAATGAAAATGGAATGTTTTACAAATATTTTGAATTCTTTATGAAAAATAAAAATAGCATAAAAATAATAAAATTAAATGATAATTTTCTTTAATTATTATAGGTAATATTGTCATCAACATACCTAACGTGTAAGCTAGGAACAGATTGAGGGCTGCCACTGCCCATAACCACCTGGGCAGGGGCGGCACTTCAGGATGGTCGGCGCTCGACGCGTAGAAATTGTAGTCGAGATACGAAAAAAGGAAAAAATTGAGGACTGTGAACAGGAATCCCACAAACGTCAGCAGATTTGGCGCCACCCATCTTGGACACAACTGCAAGCAAGAAAGTGAGAAATTAGTCAGTCCGTTTAAGGATCCGATTGCATTACCTTGACTACTGTGTTCCAAAACGGGTGCATCACATAAATACTCAGGGGACTGGTGTCTATCGAGCTGTACTGTAACATCAAGAAGAAAGCAATTTCTTTAAAAAAATTGATCTGATAATTCTACTAAATTATTCTTTTGTTTCTACGTATAAAGGTTTTTTTAGTTGTTGTTGGAACCTTTTTTACACTCGGGATGTTCAGTTCATTTTTTGATGAAATATAATCAGGCTTCCTCGGTGAAGATGAGCAACTTTATTGAACAATAAAGTTGCTCATCGTCACCAAGGAATTTATTTCATCAAAAAAATTAATTAACGTTTAAATGCAAGACAAATATCAATTAAAATCTGTTTTTTAGGTACTGTGTACTACACAGTAAAAATGTTTTAATTTTTTTTTAATCCTCTGTTTGTATTAAAAGTTAATTTCCATAATTAAAGACGCATAAATCTTAATCAACAGGACTTTGCTTTGTATTTTTCAGTTGCCTAGATTTTAGGAAATGCACTTAATTAAGGTTTAAAGGTCAATTTATTTGCAACTCAAATGTTTTTTTTTTTTTAGCAAAGTGACATGCCCTCAGAGAGAAAAAACTAGAAGGGTCTAGAGGGTCATCAAAAAGTGTCACGATCTTTTCCACGCGCGGTCCTCAGACCGATTGTGAGGTCACTCGCTAGATAACAAAGTCTCATTCATGCTGGCGAGACAAGCACAATTAATTACTACGGCCCGGCTTCGATTTTAATTTTTACCTAAGCTCTCTGTTCTCCACCTTCCTGGTCGCATTTTTAATTCAAAATTTTAGGAATCCTTAATTTGACCATTGAGAATCTATTGCAAAAGAAACAATTTCTGATTTCCCTTGTTGGAGTTTTCCACTAGTCTGCAGGAAGCAGTGTTGGTTGATGGTCTTTTAAAGGAATATTTTATTAGACCGCGGGTGGAAGAAACGCGAGCACATCAAGCCGACCACAAAGTTGAATAATTCATTGCCCTCGTTGTGTCATGAATAGAGCGATTAATCTACAATGTAACGCTTACTTCGATTGGAGCGCTTCAATCAAGAGAAATTAAATTATTCAATAAAAATCGACTATTGTTTTGAAACATTTAACAAATTATATTAGTTATAACAAAAAAAATTGGAATCATTTGGGATATAAGATGAGAGAATAAAATTAATTTTTATTTCATATCATTATAATGAAATTGCTATTATAATAGCAATTTTATGGCCAAATTGCAAAAATATAAAAACCTTAATGATTCGTTTTAATTTATAAATTAAATTAATTTTTACGTACAATTTTTAAAAATATATACCTATGATTTTTTTAACTTTTGGTAAATTTGTATTTATATGATAAAAGAAAAAATGGAATAAATAATTATGTAACTTTAAATCCAACTTAAAAATTCAGTTCGAAGTCATATAAATTTATTCTTTCAAAAAAAAAAAAATAAATTTGGATAGAACAGCGAGTTTTATAAAGACTAAAATATTTCAAATAAAATTTTTTTGGAACTTTCGTGTTTGGTAGATAAATCAACAGTAAAATGATTTTTTGTTCCAAATTCTATAAGAAAAAGCATCTGCATGAGTGTAAAGAGCAAATGGAAATTGAGGTAATAATTTAAAGTAAATTTGTTTTAATTTTTAATAATTTTTAAGTAACTGGAAAAAAGTAAATATGCAAATTTGATATTTTAAAATTATTTGAATAGAGTTAGATAATTATTTTTCACCAATGTAAGAATGAAAAACTGACAATGAGAGCTGCTTTTGGTGCGAAGAAAGACGAAAATAGAATATCTTCCGAAAGAGGCTCTAATGTCTTTATTCGGCTGAAAATAGCATCGCGTTTTGCACGGCTTCCTTTTTCATTAATCCACGAAGGCAAAGAGCTGCTGCTTTTTTCAAGCCCAACACAAAAAGTGCAACAAAGTAGCGAGACATTTAAAGAGGCACTCGTAGCGTTTTTCGTCTCAGCTCAAAATAGCCCTCGCCGACCACTTAGCGAGTGTGAATTACATTTGCTTAGTTAAAAAAAAGCTTACCCGCTCGCGGCTTTGTGGGTGCAATTTTTTTTAATAAAAATCCCAATCCACACAGCAAGCATTATAGAATTGCGTGCGGAAATTTAATGTGTCGTTCTTTTAATTAGAATAATGCAAATAGCCGACGAGCACTCCCATGAATGAAATTCATAATGTGAATATTCATGAGAATGACAGATGACATTTTTCTTTATTATAATTTTTTAGTGCAAATTTCGCTCAGTTTTAAAAACCACGCCCAGACGGTCGAACGAAACAAGCAACTAAAAAGACACACGTCTTAATCCCGGCCCAATTAAAGTGTTGATAACAGAAAGGGTTGCAAAATTAACCTTGTAGTGCTCGAAGCCGGAGAGTTGTTCCTTGGTGAGGTACTTCATGGTGGTGGTTTTGGCCCCTCGTCCACGCTGCCAATTTCGAAGAACACAAAACGCCTCAGTTCATCCTTTCCGCGCGGCGACCGAAACCAATTTTGCGTCACCTACCAGCAGAATGACGACAAAAGTGGCGTGATTCGGCGTCGGCAGTCGTTGGATTTGATGCTGCTCCTGCTGCTGCCTGAGGCCTGAAATCTGAATTATCCGTCCGCCGTACTAACACGGCTTGACGTCGCTATTTAGAAAACACATTAAAACCCGTAGGGCTCGACGAGCAGCCATATTGTTCGATCAAAACCTTAGATTTATTCGGAATTTTAATTTTAGCGGCTCTTTCTCGATCAAAGATGGCGGCCATTGCGATCTTTTTGTCGTTGTAGTTTCAAATCTGCAGGCTACACCCACTTTTAGCAGCAAAATGCTTCACCAGCCGGCTGCCAGATGACGCAAACAGGCAGACAAATTTTGCACTTTCGGTGACATTGAAAACATTGGGAAAACACACGTGTTTATGTGAGCAAATTTTAATTATATCCCTTTTTTATCTGTCTTTATTTGTTTTGTGTTTGCTAATTATTCTCCTTTTTGAGCAGATATGTACTCAACTTTAAATCTGTTTAGCTAAGGGAAAACAGCCATGTCGAAGAAAAGGGGGAAAATTCTTGGAAATCTGCAGAAAGAGTGGAAGCCGGTGCAAGTCGAAGAGCTATTCGTCGAAGGCACCAACTTTGATGGACTCATCGGCATTGAGGAGATGTCCGATTATGACATCGAAACCTTTAAAAGCAGCAAATCTAAAAATGAAAAAGTATTGTTTTCCAGCATCAAAGATTATTTTATTCCTTGTTTTAAATTATAAATCACAGAAGAGGGACAGCCTCAATAAGGTTGATCCGAGTGTCCGGAAGAGACCTCTAAACGACTCTACTGAAGAACAAGTGGCCGCGGCTGATGCTCCCAAAAAGAAGAAGAAACCAACGAAGAAGAAAAAGATTCAAGGATGGAGTGTCACCAGCGTGAATCTTGATGACAAGGAAGTTGATATGTCAGCATGGAACAATCTTTTTGTTCCCGAACCAGTTCTACAAGCGCTGAAGGAGAAAGGATTTGCAGAACCAACTAAAATTCAGGTCTGGAATCCTTGCTTGATTTGGAAGATTTTTAATCCCATATTTTTAACTGTATAGACAATGACCTTGCCACCTGCCATCGCAGGTCGAAGGGATATTTTGGGAGCTGCGGAGACGGGCAGTGGTAAAACTCTGGCCTTTGGAATTCCTGTAATCAGCAGAATTTTGGATTACAGAGATAAAGTTGCCAAAGGTCTGAAACAATTAAATTAAAAAGGGTTTTTTATGCCTATAATTCCCTAGGCATCATTGACGAAGAGGTTCTTGAGGAGTCGGAAAGTGAAGAGGAGGATCTCGAAGACGACGAAACTTTGGGATGTGTCAAGGTAGAGAAAACTAAAATTGAGGAGAAGGGCAAAAGGCCCATGGGAAAACTACACGCCCTTGTTTTAACCCCTACAAGAGAACTGGCAGTCCAAGTCAGGAATCATTTAGTTGCTGCTACCAAGTACTGCAATATAAGGGTATAAAATTTATATAAAATTGATTATTAAATGAAAATATTCAACTAGATTTCATAATTTCATAATTTTGCTTAATTTATCTTCAGGTGGAAATCATTGTCGGTGGCATGGCTCAGGAAAAGCAGGAAAGGGTGTTGAAAAAATGTCCTGAGATTGTGGTTGCAACTCCAGGTCGACTCTGGGAACTCATTAAAGAGGGAAATCCATTTTTGCAGCAAGTGGACCAACTGCCGTAAAATCACCAACCGTTTTTTTTTTTTTTTTTTTTTATTTAAAAAGTATTTTATTTTCTCTCAGGTGCTTGGTCATTGATGAAGCTGATCGAATGATGGAAAAGGGCCACTTCCAGGAGTTGCATGAGCTTGTCGAAAGAATGGAAAAGAACCAATCTGTTCGTCAAACTTTTGTCTTCTCGGCCACCCTGACCTTGGTCCATGACCCTCCAAAGCGTCTTACTATAAAAAAGAAAAAGGGACCCAAACAGCCTTTGAAACAAACCCCAGGACAAAAACTGAACCAGTTTATAACCATGCTGGGCTTGAAAAATCCAAAGGTAACATGAGATGATAATTTTAAAAATTGTTCTTATATTTTATAATATGGCAGGTCATTGATTTGACAGCAAAAGAAGGGACAGTTGAAAGCTTGACTGAGGCGTACATTCCCTGCCCTCTGGAGGAAAAAGATGCTCATTTGTATAACTTCCTCCGAAACCATCCCGGCCGAACTCTCGTCTTCCTGAACAGTGTCGCGTCAGTCCGCAGATTGGCAAATTTGTTCAGTTTACTGCAATGCCATCCAGTTGCTCTGCATGCTCAAATGCTCCAGAAGCAACGTCTGAAGAATTTGGAAAAGTTTGCTGCAAATCCTGCAGGGCTGCTTTTGGCAACTGATGTTGCTGCCAGGGGTTTAGACATTGTCGGTGTCCAACATGTTATTCATTATCACGTGCCGCGAACATCTGAAGTACTTTTGATTAATTATCTTTGAAAACTTAATTTTTCTTAAAATTTATGTTCTCAGAATTATGTGCACAGGAGTGGTCGTACGGCAAGAGCACAAAAAGAGGGCCTCACTGTTCTTTTTGTTGACTCAAAAGAAATGTCTGTCTTTCGGAGGTTATGCCAAACTTTGGGCAAAAGTATGTGTTCTTATAATTTCTTACTTCCAAAATATTTTATTTTGAATTTTTCATAGACGATGATTTACCCGAGTTTCCTATTGATAAACCTGTTTTCGATGAAGTCAGGAGAAGAGTTGAAATGGCCAAAGAGCTGGAACAATTGGATCACTCCCATCGGAGGAGCCAGTCTGAAGAAGGGTGGTTGAATAAAGCGGCCAAAGAATTGGATCTTCACTTTGATGAACACGACAAACTGTATCCTTTTAATAACTTTTTAAGATTTTGATTTAAAAGTTTTTTGGAAAAGTCCTCAACCTTTTGATCAGTCCCATAAGATCAGCTGTGGAACCAGGAGCAGCCAAAGCTCTGAAGACTAAAAAGAAAGCACTTGAGGCTGTGCTTAAACTGCCACTGGTGAGGGGCGCAGTTTCTGGAAAGTATCCCACTTCAAGTGGCAGTCTCGTGGTACCTTATTCCTCAGGTATGTGAAATCAGGATGAATCTCATATTATTTTTATTCGTCACAATATTTACTTAGGCAATACAGGAGAGGCTTTAGAACTGGTTAAATCCAGAAAGAAAGCTGCTAAAAATCTTGGCGAAGAGCTCGGCTTTAAGAAGAAGAGGCCAAAGTTCAAAAAGAAATCAGCCGCTAAGAAGGTGTAGAAATCAATAATAAAGGTATTTTAACGTTGGTCAGATTTGAATTGAGCCTTTTTATTGGCCGCAAGTTGGAATGTTGCACAACACAAAGAGCGTTGAAGCTACTTACACATAGCGATGAGAGACAATTTCAAGTCAAATATTATTATTATTTTTCCTTTGTACAATCACCCTACATGCTCTACATTCAATGTGCACAAAACAACTAATATTCGGGTTTGCAGAAAATTTCGATTGTGAAAATTTCTAATGCGAGTAAATTTGCACACAAAAAATTTTTGGCAAATTGAAGCTTATGTTGCACAGTTAAAAATTAAATTTAAAACCGGCAGGCGTAATTCAGCCTTTACGGGTTAAAATTTTATCGTTTAGTGGTCCAGCGTTTCATTGCATCCTCCCAGTCGGCCGCGCTCGCAGCTCCATTTTCTTTTTGGTTAATTTCCTCACGCTGACTTCTCAAAAGTGCCTTCAAATTTACATTACAATAGGTGATTGGATTTTAATTCAAATTCAAACCTACTTGCAAGTTTTGGCCAAATACATCAGTATCTTCATCATCATCAAAGTCATCCTATTATGAGATAAAAAATTTAAATTTCATAATTGATCAGTCTGCGGTATTTTACCTTGTTGTCACCAAAGTCGCCATTGTTTCCGTGGGTCCTGGCCTGGATCTCGGCCATGAGCTGCTCCTGCTGAAACCTTTTTTGCATCTCCTCTCTCCAGAGAACCGTGTTGCCATTGGCCGTTCGACTCAGAAACTCGTCCTGGTCTTCATCGTCAGCCTCAAAGTCTGCATTTGCAACAAAAGCACCAACCCTCACTTTTGAGCCGAAGTGGATACCAAATAGTCTGTTTTTTTCTTAAGCTTTTGCGTAAATAAAAATAACCAAAAGTATAATTTGCTCAAAGGGGAAATATTTTTATATTTCCTCCCCTTCCGCGGTGAAGATTAAATTGAAGCAGAGATTTGTTTGAATTGCGCCCACTGGCGATTTTTTAACAACACAGTGTGCCTAATTAGGAAAAGATTTTAAATATATTGCTAATAAATGTACTGACACATGCCTAGAAAGCGTCGCTCGTGTTTTTTAGTTGAGGCCTAATAATTTTTGTTCAATCTTTATTTAGTTGAGGCCTTCCTTGCTGATGGTGTATGCTGGTTACTTTTCTACTTGTAAGCGTCATTCATATTTAAATTAAAAAAGCATGCAGAAACCTTCGAATGCACTCTTTGGAGAAGGTTGTTGCAAAATGCAGAGGTATAAAAGAGAAACAAGAAAACACACAGGAAAGTTCAAACTCAATAAATATATATGTAATATTTGCAGCATATTTATATAAATTGTATAATATCAATTCTGGTCTATTGCCAAGTCTGTAGGTCAAAATAATACAACAATCAATCGGGAATCATACAAGTCCAGATAGAAAAAAATGCACTCGGCAGCGCTCTCTTGAAATTATTTTCACTTTCTTTGAGAGAGCGGCGGCGCTTCCATACAAAATAATAAAATCCAGATTTTTGTTCGAAATTCTCAGGTTAAATTTAATTGAACAACCAATGATAAAGAAGTAAGTCTTTGTATAAAAATAATAACACACAAAAAAGGAGAGAATCAATATTACACATGCTGATCAAAACCGACAATCAATTCAGTAAGGATTTTCATTGATCAATCTGAGCACTGTCCTACCTAATGGTTTTCTGATGCTCGGCCGTTTTGGCTCTTCGTCCTGATCTGACCCCTCTGTAATTAGAGACGACAAGAGTGTGTATAGGGAGTGATTAGGGGGACTTGATTTATTCACTGGTTTATACTTTTGCTCGAGCAGAGTGAATCGTATTTTTAGCTCGAGAGTTTCTAAAATCACGGTGCTATATTTTAATGAACGCCACTTGTACTTAAAAATTAGCACTACCAGTGCAGCTACCAATGTTTTGAGTTGTACTTTTCATTTGCTTTTTATTTTTAATGCAAGCCTCCATGATCATGATCATGTTCTAAGGAAGTTTGAAATTAATGACCACCTCTAGAGAATTTTCTCTCTGGAATTATGTCTTTCTCAGTCTTATTGATTTAAGATTTTAATTATTAATTTTACAACTTATGAAGGGTTTATTTAAAATAAAAATTAATCATAACGATGATGTATCTTTTAGAGCAGAGATGACTCCTGGCTCCTGGGATAAATCAGTTTAAAAAAACTATGAATTTACGGTGCTGCCAGAGTGCTATAAAAACTAGTTTTCTGATAAACTGTTTGCACAAACAGAAACGTCTCTTAAATGTAAAATTTTACCTCATTTTAATTTAATATAATGGAATATTTTTAACTATAATTTTGAAAAGAGATGCATTTAAGTGACGTTGACGTAGATTAGTAAAAATGGTGTTTAGTTAATCTTGCCGTCGTCTAACGGATTTGGGATTGATTTTATGAAATACATCACCTTTCGCCTGGAGTGGAGCTGCTTGATCTGCTGCCTAAGGGAAAGGGGTCAAAGGGGAAGCACACCACAGGCTGGTAGAAAAATATAATATGTAGAGTGGAAAAAGACGAGATTCGAACGTACATATATTTACGAACGGGGACAAAGACGGGGTTGAATGAACGAGAAAAATAAATCAAAATCACGTACCAAGAGGAGCAAAAAAGATATGTAGAAAAAAGACACGCACGGACAAAATCAAGGGAAACACGACAGGGACATTTTGGCAGCGCCTCACAAAGGCAGTCCATTGGGTGACAGGCTAAGAGTGGTTTCAGATTTTGGAAATTGGATTAAGTATGATCATCCAGTCATTCATTCAATCAATAAATTGAGAGTTAATTTTATATTAATTTTAGAGAAATCGTTCGAAGCTAATTTAAAACGGTGGAGGAATAAAAATTTGTACATTATCATTTTACAATATGTGATCGGTGTGTATGAGATGGTTTCGATCGGGCAAAATCAAGAGCTGATTGAGTAGTTTAAGTACTACATGCAAAATATAATACGTATGGTTATATGTATAGAGGTACAAAACATCAGCACTAAAGATTAATTGCTTCTGCAACTCCAACCACAAGGATGTGCTGGGAGTTTGACCTAGAATTTAGCTTTTCGGCAGCAGAGTTTGGACAGAATTCTTTTTCGTGAATAATTGTACCTTAAAATTAATTTGTATCATATATAAATCCTGCCCAAACTCTGGGCAAAAAGCTGCCAAAGCTCATCATAATAACTCTCTCTATGCTAGGACAACATATCCTTGAGCGACTCTCATTCGGCGGCCGAGGCAGCAAGAGCGGCCGAGGCCGTCTCGTGCTGCAGGGCCTCCGGTCTACTGCTTTTGACACTACCAGTCTGCTGAGGCTGCTGCTCATCCGCCTCACCTGAGTTGAGTTCCCTGACCAGAGTGGACATGGCGCAGGTGACTGAGTCGGCGGCCACCAGCAGGTCATTCCGGAGGCTGCGTTGAGGAGGTGGCGGACCCTGTTGGCCGCCAAAGGCGCTCCTCACGTCTCCCGCCAGCGAGTCGGCCATTCCGCCCGGAACAGAGTTGGCCATCGAGCTCATGGAACTGGACAGGCCTCCGGGTGTGACGGGGGCAGAACGAGAAGAGGAGGGCAGACTGCCCGTCATTGGCATGCTGCTGCTAGGAAGAGGAGGGGATTTTGTAGAGCGTGGTGAAGAATTTGGGGTCGATCGAGGAGAAGGCTGGTGGTTCTGAAATAAAACATTGTATGAATTTAATAAGAAATCAAACAGACGAGAGTTGTTTTACATTATATGAAACAAAAAAATTATTTATATATAAATTTTCAAAAAATTATTTTTACAAATGCTTAAATTACAAACGTTATTTTTCTACTTCAGACTAGAGATTTTAAGCAACTTATGCAATTGTACCTTTAACAGTTTCATAAGTCCCTCTAGTTGCACCATCAATTGCCTTCTTGAGTCCTGAAGTGCCGTCAGGTGGCCTTCCAGTTCACCCTTCCTCTGTCTAAGAGCCCTCAACTCGGCCATCAGAGCCGGGTTCTCCTCAGCACTGGCACTCATCCCGGCTGTTTCCAACTCCTGCTGTCTTCTGGTACAAAGTTCAAAGTACCCATAAGGAATTTATTCAACACACAAAACTGACAAAACGAACCTTAATCTTGCAATCTCCCTCATGATTTCTCGGTTCTTGGACTCGAGTTGCTGAATCAGCTCTCGTTGCGCCCTGCTAGTGTCGATACTGAGATTTGCTTCTGACGGCGCCCGATTCTGCAAAGATTGCATGTTAGAAAAGCCTCAAGCAACATCCGTTGACAAATAAAAAATAAAAAAACATGCACACTGACAAAAGGCACGGAGAAAATGAAATCTACGGCAAGCAGGGGGTGTTGGTGCCGATTGGGTTACTATGGTATATGTGCTTACGTACTATGAAATCGTGAAGAGGCATGATCCACTGAATGTGTTGCGACTTGAGAGAGACCAATTATGAATTAGTTTTGTGCGGAGAACACTTACAAAACATGTGCACACAATAATGATATTTTGAAATTTATTCTCTGCCCACAGACAAGCCAGAACGTTTGTGTGAGAGACTACGTGAGGTGCTAGTAGTGCCAAGGCGATTTACATTTTTATATTTATACAGCCCCAGCAAGAATGAAACTAGGGCTTTTTGATAAGTACTTACTGCAGAGCGCGCCTCAGCTGCGAGCCGAGCTGCATATCGGGCGATCAGTTTGTGCTCGTCGTCAAACCGCGCAGAGTCGAGGCTTGTTGTGTTGTATTTGCTGGGACTCGAACAGAGAGGACTGAAACTAAAGTTACACAATAATTTAGCAAAATCAACTTTTGATTTTTTTTTATTATTTTTTTTATCTTTGAATGAGGAATTTAATTTAAACATGCCAATATAAAATTGGATGTGGATATTAAAATTTTTAAATATTTTTATAATCTGCGATGCTACCTTCTGTGAGTTGATCTGCTGTCCATAGAACCAACATCAAAAGCACCGGAAAATGAAGACCCATCTGGAAAGCCATTGTGTGTGGGAAGAGGGGATGGAGGACTAAAGGATATTTGTTATTTAATAATTAATTTTCCATATTTTTAAAATTTGGGGGGAAGGGAATAAACTTACACAATGTGAGATAGATTTAAGGTTTTTTCCGGCTCATCTGGGAACCGTGGAATGTTGTTTCGGCCCTTTTCGGGGACGCATCTGAAGGACTTCCTTAGAGAATGACCAATTTGCTTGCTCGGGGACTTCTAGATCAAACAGTGTTATAATGGCCGCATCATTAATTAAATGAATTAAAAAATAAATGATATGAAAGTAAAAATCAATGGGAATATAACAATTATAAAAAAAAACTCACGTAAGTTGAATATTCTTTGACTTCGTGTTCGTTGGTGTGCTGGCCCGAAATTCTGCCTCTCCAAAAACACTCCTGGCACATGTTGTAGTTGTGGCATTTCTGGCACCGATATCTGAACCCGGTAAAGTTCTCCCGCTGACACGCATCACAAATCATTGGGTGAGCCACTGGAAACATTTTAGCATTTAGATTTGCTCTTGAATAGAGAGTAGGCCTCAGCAAGAGGCTTTCTCGACTGGGAGTGCCCAGACGCCCGCACTCGACTGACGCGCGGGGCGTCAATTCGGGGTCAACACTTAAAAGGCTTAAATTGCATTATTCCAACTTGAAAGTCTTCGCTTAAACCGACAAAGAAAGAAGCCTTGATCACAAATGAAGAGGAAGTGCAGCTCACCTTGTTCCACGCTGGCAAGTCTATGCAACAGGGGCAGCCAGACAAGACAGTGGGGTCCAGGGTCGGACATCATCACATCCATGAAATCGTTTACAGTCACCTTTGGCGCCTGTTAAATAATTCAAATTATCAAATGATTTATCTCAGGTTTTTATGACTACGGAGAAATAATTTTTGATAAATATAAAAAATACTCAACTGATGAAATCAAATAGTGATTTACTTTCATATTTGTAATTTTAGTAAAGAAGGCAGTAGATTAAAATAAAAAAATGATTTCATGAAAATTTTATTAATTAAATTTAAATAGAAAAGTTAAATTGGCAATAACTTTTCATCAATAAAATTTTATAATCATACATATTAATTACAAATTTCAATTACTTACACCGCTGAAAATTGAAGCTTCCAGCATGTCGGAATAGCTAAAAGAAGGCGACTCGTAGACAGCAGCTGGCAGCGCCAGCACCTCCTGCAAGTACTCGGAGAACCGCATCTGCAGCATGTGACCGTTGCCGTCGGAAATTTGCGAGAAAATATCTACAAGGAGAGCAAGTTGAGAGCAGCAGGTCGATACTTAATTAATTCCTTACATCGTAATTTATCCATCAATTTTCCGGCGCACATGCTGGCTAACGCAACCTTAATTGAGAAGACTCTGATGCGACCCACATTTTCCCTGCAATCAAGAATTAATTTCAGCATGCGTGTGTTGGAGGGATCGATTCTCATCTGCCGTTTTTTCTCCATTATAAATTTGAAGCTTACACAGAGTACGCTGCGAGGAGCCAGTTGAGCAAAAGCGACGAACACGCGTCGACCTGCACCTGTTGGGGCGCTGGCAGTCTCTTGTTCAAGTTGTGCAGCAGACTGGACAAAAGGGTCTCCAGCCGGGAAACGTTGACCTCCGCCTGAGGCTCCAAAGTGTTTAGGCCGTGCTCCCGAAAGGCTTCGATTACGTTCCAAATATCAATTATGTGCACTGGGAACAGCAGAAAAACATAAGTCGGTTTAAACTGATAAATTAAAAGAGTTATATAAGCTGTAAATTAGTGTAATTTGGTTGATTTATGAGCAACGTTTCGCCATAAAGAAATCATCCTGACAAGAGACATGAGTAGAAAATAAAAAATAAAAATAAAATCGCAATTCATTAAATCATTTTCATTAGAAATGTGTTACATTTTCCTACAATCAAATTTTTATAATAATAATCAAGAAAAATCAAATCCTTTATTAGTTATTAACCATATTTATTGTTATGGAAGTCTAAGGAATATAATAAATTTTTAATTTTTATCACAAATTTATAAAAAATGTTAGATTAGTGAAAAATATAATGCAAAAAAGATTCTGATATCTTTTTTTACTTTTAAATGTGTAGGTATTTGATTGAACTTTGTTCTAATATATTTTTTTAAGTCAAAACTGAAAAAAAGTTTTTAATTAACTCACGATTTGTTTTCTTTTGTACGTAGCGCAATTTGCAGGCGGTCCGGTATGACGAAAAGCGAATCATGTCCAGATTCTGGGCGCGCATCTCCTGGATGAGCTGCCGATGACCGGCGCAGATGCTCTCCACGGCGGCCACCTCGGCGGCCATTTCGGCCAGCCAAGCCTCGCTGTCTAACGCGTCCAGCCTGCAACGAAAGAATCGCAAAATTGAGCATCATCGAATGACCAAATTGGCAAGGGGAAAAAAGCCAAATCTGATCTCGTTTCCGGAGATAAACGACAAATCGGATATGGGATCAGAGCAAACAATGCGCGGGTGGCTGAGCGGCCTACTTTTCACTTTCTTTGACCAGTCGACCCGTAAATCGAGTGGGGTGGCCCAGGGGCAAACAAAGTTTGAGCGAGCGAGATCATTCAATTGACGCTTTCCTCTTCTTTTTTTGTTCTCCGGCAAATAGAATTTGGCTGCAAATGGGAGGCGAAAGAGCCCCTAGGCGAGTTGGCTGAAAAAATATATTCTGTCTGTCCGAGGAAAGGCGGAAATAGGAGCCAGAATAAATGCCTGCAGGGAATGGCTGATGAATATTCACAACGTTTAATGCCGTTCGCAATCAATAAAGAGGAGAGACAGAAATTGATTATGCAAATGGAACGGGCAAATATCCACCAAATTATTTTTAAATGTATCACGCGGTTTTCAAAAAATGATTTTATAGATTCTGCGATAAAATTGCGTTTCTAATGGAAAGGACAAGAAATAATAAATGCATCTATGCAACCTGCTCGACACATCTGTTCAGCGGTATGCATATCATTGAAATTGTATAATTATGTCATTACAGTGGTCGATTAAAATTATTATAAAATATATATTTATATTTATACCCTTTTAAATGATTACATCCTTTCATATTATGTAAGTAAAAGGAAGTTGAGGTTGGGAAATTAAATTATAAATAATTCATAAATTCTGCTTCTATGTCAAATAACAATTTTAGAACTTTCCCCCAGTCAGCCCAGATAAAAATTGATTTTTTTTTCGTTCATAGTTTGAATTGAATATTATGAATATTATGTATAAAAAACTTTCAAAATAACATAATTTAATTTTTATTCAATGCTGCCGCCAAGATTTTTCTAAAATGAGGAATTTTCATTTTCCAATAATTGACTATTGCATGATTGGATAGAAAAAATATAAAATTATTTTAATTTTAGCCCATAACGATATAATTAAGAGCAAATTAATAAATAATTTATAACTCTTTCTGTAGTTAATTTTCAATCGTAAATTGAATTTCCCCATTTGTCTTCATCTGTTAGTTGAGACCTTTCGATCTAAAGATTTGCTTTTCTGGCCATCGGTTGAGTCAAGTCGGGTGGGGTTTTAATACGAAACGGCTTAGCAGGGCATGTTTGTATGTGTTAGGCGGTGGTAATCTGCGCGTCCCCTGCCATTTCAGCGACCGCATTGCACGGCAACTTTTTGCGTACCGACCATTCGACCGCACTTTTTAATAAAGTTTTGAAAATAAATGGCCGTCGGCGGCGGCTGCTGTTGGACGGGAATGACTCACGCAATTTCTGCACCGCAAACTTGAGCGATTAATCAGAGCAGAGCAGAGTGTGTCTCTGGCAAATTGCTTTTGAAAATATAATTACCAAATTACGCGAGCGCGCAATTTGGACGGAAAGCCATCTCGTTAAATATTAAAAGGGGGGTTGTGTACCGAGGGCCATCAATTATTTTAAGGGAAAGGTTCCATGTGCACGAGAAAAACATCTAAATATTTCGTTTAGTCAAAAAACTTTGAAGATTCTAAATTTTTAATTCCATTATTCTCTGTCAAAAGTTTCCCAAGAGAGGAAAACTCCCACAGAAGTAAAATATTTCTTCCTTAGAACAAAGTGTCTCCATTAATATTTGTTTAAAAAAATTTGACTTGTACATGTATCATCGTTTTTAGAAAATATACATAAAAATTTTATAAAATGCTACAACAAATGTTGGGATTGCTATTTTGTGAAGCTTAAATTATGGTATTTAAAGTACAAACTACGAAGTTTTTAGCCAAATGAGGTAAACAAATTTTGAAACAAAATTTGTGTAAATTATTAAATAATAATCATGAACTTGTACCTTGAAATTTCCCTGCTTTTTTGGGCAAAATTATAAGAAAATCTTGTTACATTTTTCAACACTTTGAATTTTAAACGTGCTTTCATGCATTAATAGATCGTTACATAGTACATTTTTCTTGTGTGCAAAAGTTTTGATCCGGTTGATTCACGAAATGAAATTTTGTTCTTTACATTTATCAAGAAAATAATCTAATTTTCTAGCGTAATTTTACAGATGCAAGTGGATGCAAGGAAAGTTGTTAATTTTATATCAGCTTTTTTCAAAATATTTCAAAAATTTATTCAATCTGTTACCTAATTGGAAAAAAAAAATTTTTGCCCAGCCCGAAATTTCTAAAAAAAAAAAAAAAATAGTGTCCGTAACACAAACCCGTAAGTTTAGTCCCTCGAGACATCCCCCTTGTCCTTCCTATTTGACCCGACTCAGTTTCATTTTCAGAAATGGCGTCGTGCTTTTAAACTAATTTGATTAATTATGCTTTGGAGAGTGAAATGGTAGCGGGCTTGATTTTGGAGGAGTTGCGGACCGAACGAGAGAGTGATGAAACCTGCGTCTGCCGCTTATTAATCATTCATTCAGCAGCGAGACGATGTTGGCGTGTAATAAGCGCGATCCGCTGAAAACATAAAGTAATGCGAGACTCGGCACGACAACCGGCTGACACACATCACATCACCAGATTTCTGCTGCGTTCAACCGTGTGCCCCGTAGACGCTTTCGGGCTTGATCTTTCTTTACCGCACTGAATTCAAAGATCAGTTGAATATTAAAGTTGATTCTGTAACCTTCTCAACTTCCTCCGAGTCGGAAGAAATGTACTTATTTAAAAGTAAAAAATTTTGGATCATTGAAAAGCTTGATTTTAATTATATTTTTTTTTTTAATTAAAAATTTCCTTCAAGAGTCTGATGTCAAAAAATTTTGAAACAGCTGAAGTTCTTCTAACAAGATCTTATGCATTTGACTTTGATTTTTGCATCTAATGAGTGACATAAGAGCTAAATATTTTATTACATTTTGAAGTATTGAAATGAAATATGAAATAAAAAATAAAATTAATTAGAAAGAGAAAGAGACAGAATGAAAAAATAAATCTATAAAAAAATATTGAAAAATTTACCAGAGAAGGTTTCTATTGTGATACAAAACAAAATAAACTCGACAAGCATTCGGATAAAGAAAACACGGTTGTCGTCGTTTGTCCCCCTTAGCCAGAAGACAAATAAATACACACACGAGCAATCACATTCCATCACTCAGTTGACATTTGACCTACAAAACTACGGCGGGGCTGCATTATTGAGACAGAGGGCGGCGGACTGCGCGAACATAATAATAAAAAACCATGAGCGGCCTATTTATGACTCGAGTGGCCTTTATTTAACCAAGACCTCTCTCGGGCGCGGACCTATTTTTTATTTTTATTGCAAGCCCTTTTCCAGATTTCTTTTTTTTTTCATTATTATTCGCACACACCTTTGGCGGCGAAATCGAGCTTGACGCAGGTTCGACGGCAGCTTTTTCACTCGCATGCACCCACTCGTAGTCGGGGGTGATCAATACGCGGCCAAGTGAGCGCCGCCCACCCACCCACCCCACATGTTAACAACCCCTCTAATGTGCGCGTTCGCTGCTGTGCCACTTTTCTGCACACGCAAATGCCGCGCTAATTTCATCGCCACCGTTTGCAATTCCGCCGGATGAGAAAGGAAAACCGACATTCAAGTTACTATTTCACGCTATATTTGAAACAATTAACTCGCTGTCTCTTTTGAATGAGGATTTATTGGTATGAAAATAATTGTGTGCCTTGATTATTGCAAAGGGCGTTCTTAGATGGATTTTTTGTTTTTAAAGATGAATAAATGAATTTTGAAAAATCAAGAAACAAAACAATTTTTGGTTTAAAATACTCAGGATTTTGAAATCATCTATAAATTCGTGGAATTTCTTAAATTTAATTTAATTTAAAATTTAATTAGAGAGATTTTAAAAAGAAATTTTTTGCTTTTTTCTTTACACCAAAACAGCTGTAATTTTATTTTGCTTCACCAAAACGATTCTTATTTTAAATGAGGCCACATTATTTATTATAACGCATAATTTTAATATGCATTGCTTAATTCAAGTAATTTTTCATATCGAATTTAAATACAACAATTTTGGTATGAAAATCTCTGAATTTATTTATTCAACACAAAAGATTCATGTTTCATAAAAAAAACTTTAATAATAATCTAGAATTTTCATTCCATATTATATTAATGCAGTTTCATCTGTTGCTTCCAATTATCAGCTTAACAGCCTAGCAAACGACACAATAAAGTTTCAGAACAAAGTATGCTAAGGTTTACGGCGGGACATTACAAAGTTGCCATTCACAAACTTGTTACTAGCTTTTCTCAATTTTAACAATGTTGATCGTGAAAGTTCACATTAATTTTCACAAATTTCCACAGACGGATTATCATCTTTCTATGTCTTTATTTTTTATCATTTTATTACCCCGTTTTAAAATTTTCAATACTTTTGTTTGTACATTTTGACAAACGGTCTTTTTTCCGTGCTAAATTAGCAGAGAAAAATTGCCCGTGGAGGTAAAATTGAATTCTGTTTGAGTTGGGAAATTAAATGGCGCGGTATGACAGGGGTGGGTGGTAATTGGATTTGGCATGCACCACCGCTGCAAGCGCTCTTTTCACGAGTTGAATTATTAATTAATCGCCAGCTGCCCGCCGCCGCCAACCGTTTCGTTTAATTAAAATTGGCCGCATCGGCAAAAAAGAAAAAAAGGGACGTTCGTATTTCTCCAGCTTTTTTTATTTTTGTTTTCGAGGCGTAAATCTTGCCAGCGAGTTGGCATGCCGAGTTGGCCGCTGCAGATCAAAGAGAGTCAATTAGTTTGACTGCCTCGAGCCGACTGACTCGCAGCCTGTTGGTCCCCCTTTTCTTTCTCTCTCGGGTGGAAATTTAATGTCTTCTCGTTTTGATGCGACCAGGTAGGAGGATTTTAAATTGCTTTTGTTTAACGCTTTTTGTTCC